ACTCGCACTACTATTCATGATTGAACAAAACTTTTGGCAGGTACTGTATGAAAAAGTATGTTTAATGAACAAGAGTCGAGAGTATAATGAGCTTTTTTCTCCCTACCTACGATTTTGCCAGCGCGCATCCAAGACATTGGAAGGGGCAAATCGCTAGAGAAAGTAAATGAAGTATACTATGCAGTAACCTTACAATAACGAAAAAGTAGGGACTTACCGTCTCTCAAAACGACAATAGGTAAAGTATTATCACCCCCAGCGTAACCGTGGATGATGAATACATTATCTAAATACGGATTCCAAATACTTCCCTTAAGCCAGTCCGCAATATTGTTCGGAACTTGTTCCTTTTTGCCCCCACTGTAAAGGTAATAGCTTACATCACCTTCGGGACATTCAAAATTGTTGGCTGTTGGTCGCCACGAACAATTTTTTAATGTTGTATTAAACATGGACTGATTGTTTAAAAACAATGCTTCTTTAATAGGGTTTTCGTTGTTAAAATTTATAATTTGAGGCTCAACTAAAACAAAAATACTTATCTGTATCTCTTACGCTACCTAGTTTTTCAATATAAAATCGAATTATAGTTGTTTAAATAATGTTTGTAAGTGTTACTAAAAAGGTTACTCTTTGTTCCGGATAGATATTAACTCGAAGATACGTTTGTCAATAATATTTTTTTAATTTTAATTTTCCTTTGTATTCTACAGCTAAGAGTATACAACTAGGACGGTCAGTAGTGACTAAATGACCAGAATAGCAAAGGGCCCCCGATGTCTTAAAATGTTTTTTAATAGAGGTAAAAAAATGTACGGTTTCTTATATTGTGTTTTTAGTACGTAATAACATTGTAACATGTTATCTACCAACCCTAGAAAGGTTATACCTAATATTATCTTAGTTATTCCATTAAATAAACTTTCACGGTTAAAATAAATGGGGAATTCCTTTTTTATTGTGATGCATATTACATTTCTATTTCAATTGTTTGTTAAGCATTACGGCACTTCATTCTGCAGAATAAACCCTGTGCATTTGTTTTTTGAACAAAATTGTAAAAGCTAATACGAAAAAAAGTAGTATATAGCATTTAACAAGTGGTTCTGGACTCTGGGTGTCGCATTCCTGGTGCAACCCCTGAGGTCCACACGAACAACATCCCAGTTAATAATAATTTCTTTTTGAAGTGAAACTTCTTTACGCACGATAGGGTAAGTTCGTTTCATGCAAGTTGCTATGTAACGAAATTACGCAAGGGATGTCCCCCCTCTACTCGGCCACGTAGTTGAGTTCGTAGTGGGAGTTGCTTGAGCCGTGAGCGCGCTTCAATGCAACGTTCGTTACAGGCAACTCCGGCATGTATAGTGTGAAATTCATAGTGTAGAAATAATACCATTAAACTAATTCCTTAACCCCTATCCTGGTATGTTTGTGTGTTTGAAGAAGTTTCACTTCAGTAGCGTGTTGTATAATTACACGTTGTATATTTTTAAAAAATCGAGTTATATCAGAACCAATTAGATCAGATAAATTTGAATTCCTGTATTTACCAATTTTCTGTTTGTTTGTTTCAACAAAAAAAACGACTCGCCTAAATTTTATGTAATTCTTTTCAGATCGTCCCTGAGGTAGCGTTGCAAATCATACAATCATTTTATGTCGTTAGTCATTTAATGATTAGAACGTTAGTCGCTCTAGTAAAGGTGGACCTGGTTCTAAAAGAATGTCAATTATGTCCAAAACAAAAAGTTCAAAATTAATGTTAGGCTATTTAAAAATTTGCTGTCAGCTGGCTTATGAATGAACAGTGAGTTTTTTGTTTTATAAAAAATAGATTAAATTAATTCCAAGTGACGACAAATTTATTGAAAGAATTATTTAAACAATATATAAAGTAAAAATATGCTTCAGCTAATTATTTAAAGGGGGCGTCAAATAAAGGTTAGATTGGATTGCGCCATACTTAGATTATGTGCCCGCTCAGAATTTAAAATCCCTCAGCTGACGATCTTACCCCCACCGGAAAAATAGCTGACAATTTTTTTCGTTCTAATGATATAAAAAATTAACTCTACAAATTTTATTGAAACTGAAATAATTTTGCCTGAATTCCTTTCTATACTGGTTTATATGGACGGCTGACGTATAATACCCCATTACCTTAGCAGCTGACTATTCTTAAAATTTTTATTATTATATTAACATTTGTTGTGCAAATTTTTGTGGCCTAAAATTAATTTTGAATTTTTTATTTTAGAGATCATCATCATCCTTAAAAGGTCGTCAGTCCTAAGATTGGTTGGACACGTACCTCCACCCCTTCCTATCCTGAGCTAATCGCATTTCTCTAAAAATACAACGTTCCACATCTTTAATTATTTACGAACAGTAATCTAATCTAAGTCTACGTCTACTCCTCTTAACTCCTGTTTCTGCCTCTAATATGTCTCTGACTAGACCTTCATGCTTGAGAAGGTGTCAACTATCAATCTATCTCCCCTATTTTTTATTGACTTCTACAGAGTCCTCTGTTCTCCTATTCTTTCTAATACCTCTTCATTTCTAATTTAGATGGTATTTTTTACAAGTATGTCCCTTTTGTACGAATCATATTTAAGTAATCGCCATTTACGGATAAATACATAAATTTTTTTAGAGGCATGCATCTACAAATGTAATTATCATTAAAATTTACAATTAATTTCAAACATAC